AATGCGAGAGTGAAATAACCGTAGTTATACCATTATTGTTGTAAAATTAAAAGCAGATTTACATTTCAAGAAATATCAAATATCAACATTGTAACAGAAAGAAAAATAAAGCTTTTTTTAGTCTTGTTCCAAGTATTTTGTGCTGTCTGCTTTTACTTGCTCTTTATGCAAACTAAGAACTGCCAAGAAGTCAATAATTTCACAACCCTTCTCTATAAACAGATCTGTTTAAACAAAAAAGCAGATTGCAATAAATAACTACTATAATCACCCTTCCTCTTCATTTTTATTAGGTTCTCTATATTAATATATGTATGCTGAACACATCAGAATTCAGTCACAGTACAGACTTTACCTATTTTAATAATCCATTTTCTCCATTGACAGGACTAGTCACATAATTTACAAAACTTCTTTGTAGACATTTACTTATTTCACAGTTCATTAACCTTCAAAGAGCACACCTCCCAGTTTGCAGGTGTGTTATCTAAAGCAATGATACACTAAGTGCTAAAGTATGTTTGTGTCAGAAATGCTTATGAAATGAATGTTTTTCTCCACTGAGCTACCCAGCTGAGTTGAATTTATTTGCATCAATTTATAATAAGTTTTTCTCCTGATGGTAAGTGCAGTAGTTAAGTGCCAGTCACTGCAAATATGCACAAAAAAAACAATCAAACTGTACCGTCTATCACTTTTTAAAGTACACAAATGGCAGTATTTAATCTTCCTACATAATTGAAAAGGATGAATCACTCTAACTTCTTTCCTTTTGCAGTAACACTACAAGGCTTCATTTAAAAATTAACATCTTTTAACAGCTTTTTCACGCAGCAGGGAAAACCTCATCGAGTGTCATATTCTCCCTTTTAACAAGTCTCGATGGAGCACAGTGACATTTTCAGTTTTCTGTAGCTGGACTAGCCTTACATTGGCTCATTTTTATCTGACCTCAGGGTTTTCACATCATTAATAAAGAGATAATCAAAACAAAGGGTATATACATTAGGGTAGGAAAAGTTTGCATAGTTTGGCACTATTATCATATATAACCTTTAAAATGGAACAGAATGAAATGCACGTAGCAGAGGTGGTGAACCTTCTAAGGACTGCTTCCAAACATTTTTCCTACTGGCAGTAAAACATTTTCAGACCTCCCAACTCTGGCCACCGTGATAGTTACTGCTGAATGGGGTTTATTTCTTTTTGTTTCAGCTGTCAATAAAAACTTCAAGTGATAGCTTTTTAAGTCAACTAAACACATTTAAATCAAAACAAAACACTGACATCACAGAGACAACAGAAACACCATGCAAAAAGAACATTCTGTTTAAATTCTAGGCTTGTTTACCAATGGTTTTAACTTTTCTCCCATTATGTTACAAAGTCCCATTGCACCTGAAATCTGACCAAAATGTCATTAAAAAAAAATTAAAGTGCCCTTTATTCCTGAGGATCTAACACATGTAAATCACCTAAATCTGCTAGTCATGCCTCAATAGTAGTCAATATTCTTCAGGATGAAGATCATCATAACTCTGCTTACACTTCATTTCTTACTGCTGAAACTGTGTAAGGTAGAGCTCAAATTTAAATTACACTTTTAAAGCAGTAATATTTTCTGAGCTAACTTTGCTAAGACATCAAGAAAGTTCCAAACATGAAATTATACCCCAAAAAAATCCATTCTACCAAATGACAAGCATGGATAGAATTTCCCAACAAATAGAGTTCTACCGATGAACTTCCAGGGACACATGAAATACAAAAAAACCTGTCATTAATACCAATATATTACTTGTAAGCCTCATGCTCTTTCACACCTGGCTTCTGAGAACCATGTAGGTCGGTGGAGAGCAGGCTATCAAGTCGAATCAGGACGCTCCAGCAGAACCAGTGTTGCATCCCAGGGGTTAATAGTGCATCCAGTCCTGTTAATGTCTTCATTAATGATCTGGATGACAGGGTAGGGTGCAGCCTTTGCAAGTATGCTGGTGGAAACAACGTGGAAAGGGCAGCTGATACACCAGAGGGCTGTGCTGCTGTTCAGAGGGATTTTGACAAGCTGGAGAAATGTGCTGACATGAACCTCACAGAGTTCAGGGAAAGGAAATGTAAAGTCCTAAACCAGGAGAGGAACAACACCAAGCACCTGCACGTGCTGGAGTTCACTCAGCAGGAAAGCAGCTTTGCAGAAAAGGAATTCAGTGTCCTGGTGGTCACAATGGTGACCATCAGCAATGTGGCCCTGCAGGGACACACCAACAGCATCCTGGGCTCATTAGGAAGGGAGCTGCCAGAAAGTTTAGGGAGGTGATGCTTCTCCTCTATCAGTCACTGCTCAGGCCACACCTGAGATATCATGTCCAGTTCTGGGCATACTGGAGACAGCCCAGCAAAAGGCCATAAAGAAACTAAAGAATTAATTAAGGGCTTTATTGAAGCATTGGAGCATCTCTCATGTGACAAAAGCCTGAGAGAGCTGAACTGTTCAGCCTACAAAAGTGAATGGGGCATCTTATCACTGTGTATAAATAGCTGAAGGAAGGCTGTAAAGATGGAGCCAGACTCTTCAGTGGTGCCCAGTGAGAGGAAAAGATGCAATGGGCACAAACTGAAACACAGGGGGTTCCCTCTGAACATTGGAAACACTCACATGTGGCCCAAAGAGGTTGTAGAGTCTCAAGCCTTGAGATAGTCAAGGGACATCTGGATATGGCCCTGGACAGCTGGCTCTAGGTGGCCCTGCTCGAGCAGGGGGCCTGGACCAGATGAGCTCTGAGCTCCCTTCCAACCTCAGCCATTACATGATCCTGTGAATCACATCCCATTGCATCATACACAGCTGCTTCAGCAAAACCTGAAGATAAGCTGCAGAGTACCATTAAGCTAAATAATAATAAAAGGGCTTCTTATGAAATAACTGAGAGCCTGTGGAGGGTTTCTTTTATTACAGGATTTACTATGCTAATTTAATTACAACAAGGTGATTACACAGTAATCCTATTTAGGCAGGAAGTTGACATTGCAACTCTGAATACCTTACTCAGCACAGGATTAGAACTGCCTTTTGATAGTTACTTTCACCTCCAGAAAGAAGCACTTCAAGGCAAGTTAAGAACATGTTTTAGGACACAGAATTGTAAAAAAACTGCTCTACAAATAGACAGTGTAGACACGTAGGAAGAAAGGAGCGTGGCTTAAAGCAGGCCAAAATGTTATTAGCTTTCCTCATCTGGGAATGACCAACAACAATCACTTGTACAGTACAAAATTCCTTCCTTAATGACTTCCACCTGCTGGAGGGCTGCCTTTTGCCCTGCATCTCCCTGCAGCTGCTTTCCCATCTGCTGCTGGAAGCCATTGCCCTCCCTTTAGATAAGACCTGAGGTCTGGAGATAGATGATAGTTGCTCCAAGCAACCAAAATCTTTCCCCAATTCCCAGAGAGCCAGACCTGCTGTGTCTAGAAGCACTGCTGGATTGCTACCACAGCACAGTCTAGGCCTGACCATGGAAAAGGTTCAAGCTCAGCAGCCTTGTGCAGAAATTGAGAAGGGGAATTAGGTACCTGTCAGGAGGCAATTGTTTCTCCACCAGGACTGCAGAATTCCAGCAGCCCTTCATCAAGAACACTGTAATTCAGTTCTTTGTACCACTGCCCATCAGCCAGAAGATTGTAACACACTGAATACAAACCAGTCTGATAAGGGATTAGGAAGTCAAATCAGTGGAGAACCAATGGAATTCATCACCATCCTCAGCAGTACAACAGGTCATACAAGCCTTGCAAAACAGATTTGCACAGCCCAGGATTTAAAATACACCATCTTTCCTACTCAAATGCTAGACTGAGATCACCAAAATTGCTGGAGTTTTTATGCTTNGATTTGCACAGCCCAGGATTTAAAATACACCATCTTTCCTACTCAAATGCTAGACTGAGATCACCAAAATTGCTGGAGTTTTTATGCTGGTTGGCCCATTAAACACAAGCTGGAAATTCCAAATTTCATCTGTATCTTCTTAGCATGCAGAGCACAAGACATATAGCAAAACAGAATAATCAGAATCTTAGAAATATTTATTTCCTGCTTCCACAAGAAAGATGAGTTTAAGCCAATTTTTTTTCCTAGAGTTTTGCTAGCCAGACATTTGAAACATTCTATAAGATTCCTATATACCTTAAATAATATACTTCTCTGAATAGAAACTATTGGCACTATATGCCTAAATTCCACAGGTATTTGTTTCCTGAAAGAAGCAAACACATTAAAAGTAAAATCAAGAAGTTTTAATAGCAATCATTCTAATCAGTATTGTGTTCTCCAAGCCTGTGGAGTTTTTTTAAATACCAGGAAAATAGTTATTGGACACTTTAAACACTGGATTTACACATTCCCTTAAATGTGACAACTATCTCAAATAAGTATTCCATTAGTCATATTTTTATGGTCTGATTTTGTAGATACATAATTAATACACTGGTCTGTTTTAAAGAATGAAATTATTAGTATTTTTAAATAAATGTTGAGTGCACTTGAAAAAAATAACCAGATAATAATATGCAGTTTTCAACAGATCCCTTAAAATACATCAGTAGCTTCATCCTTCAGAACAGAAATAGACAGAAGGAAAGAAGCTTCGACCAGAGGAACTGAAAGAGCAACTCAGTCACCTAATAGATGAGGAAACAGGTCATGATATCACAACTATCAAGTCATTAAGGTCCACCTTCCCCCATTGAAGCCAATGAGAATTAGACACAAACATTTTCTTAAAAGCAATCATAAGCACTTCTAAAAAAGGTCTAGAATGACAGCTAGTGAACTACCAAAATTATATATACACCAAATACATTGGCATTTAAATTGTTTTAAATTATTCATTATTCTTTAACAACTTTCCTGCCACACAGATTAGAATCAAACACATCAAAACCTTGATACTGGCCATGAACTCAATATTTCTATTGCATTTCATGATTAGGAGATACAGTACCTCTGTCTGAAGTATGGCAGCTCTCTGTTCTTTGGCAGTAAGAGACTCTTTAAGCACTTCAATGTGTTGCTTGCAATCTGAATTCTGATTGCTAAGGGTTTCAAGCTTGGTTTGTAAGGCAAGAAGTTCTGATTCTTTCTTTGAGAGTTCTTGTTTCAGTTGATCAATCTGCAGTGGGGGGGGAAAAGTTAGGTCATTAATTTGGTCTCCAATTCGTAACTCCACTGGAAATCTGAAAGGTGTCAATGACCGTGGTATAACAAATCAGACACCTGTGAATTCTGGAAGAGAATTAAAGTTCAGACTTTTTACACTCACACCTTCAATTGTGTTTCTTGCAATTTAATGCACTGTGTCTTAAGAATGAATGCCCTGTTGTTGCAGAAGTTAAAAGGAAACTCCTGAAGATTATATGTGATGATTTAGCCTATAAATTCACCATGGACCTCACTTAAGTTCAAAGGCATGTATCCCACGTGAGGCAAGTCTGGCATGACAGCAAAAATGCATAGGAAAAGAAGTGTTCATAAAAGTATAAATTCAGTCCTTCCAACAGCATGATTCCCATGACTTGTCATTGGCCAGAGGGAATCAGGAAATTTTTAGGAGTCTGATAAAGAAAAACCAGGCATTTTAGAAAGGAGAGGAAAACAGAAAAATGGACTTTCAACCTTATTCCTCTTCTTGCAAATTTGTGCTGGTGTTGCCCACCATCCCCACTCCCAGCTTTCTCCCTGGCAGTTCACATGGAATTCTCAGGTAGTAGAAAAGCCAAGCCAAGCCAAAAAGACTAACTTAAGAGAAGTCTGGGGAAAACATTATAAAAAATTCCACACAATGAAAGGGCTGAGAGATTATAAAATCTTATCCCAGAGGAAATAGCAGAAACACAATATTAAGACAGCTTCTGAATTTAAGTGAATTTAAGGTTCATCAGTAAATGTCATAAAATTGTGATTCCTCTCCTCTTTTCACAATGATAAATGGGAAGAGTAGCCACAGGACACAAAATTGTGGTGGATTTAGAATTTGCAAATCAGAGCAAAGCACTGGACTATATACAGAACTATGCTATAGGTGAGAGGATGGTGAATTAGGTGGTATATAACTACTCCTAAATTCTTGTGGTATAACACTGGTCACCAGATGATTCCAGATACATCACCTCATGAGGATTATTTGGAATAAAATGCCTCACTGCATCTGCATAACTCAGAGCAATCCCTTCCCTTATATGAAGAGCTCATTTCCATGTCCCAGTGGACATTTGGGAAGCAAGAAAACTGGAAGTGGTAGATGGAAGATGATTCAAAAATTCCCAGGAAAAAAAGAAAGAGTATCCACGGGTTGATCCTACTCAACCTCATTCAAAAAATCCACATAATAAAACGTTTTACAAATTCAGTGTTGTATGGTACTGGATATATTCGCTGCTAATCAAAATGCTTCTATTTTATTTTATATTGGAAGTGCATATTTTAAAATTAAATTTAAAAGCAATGATTCTTCCAACTACAGTCCTTATGCATGCCTCAATATATGTATTCCTTCTTTCTTTTTATAAATCCCAATATGTTTGCATTGTTGCTTAAGGTGCTCACATAGTCACCCATGAGCTACTGTATAAAATCAAGAATCTACCCTGGCACTAAAAAAAATCACCTTTAAAGTCTGAAAATATCAAAATAAGAAAAGAGGCATACAAGAAACAGAGATGGAGAAAGAATGCAATTAAAAGCTGCTAGAGAAAGCTTGCTCTGGAAAGCAAAGCACTTTCCTCCATCTCTGCCAGAGCATGTAAGCAAGGATGGCAACCAAGAGAAAATGGATAGAAAATGAACAATGGGAAAATCTGTCTATGAGATGCAAAGACAAAATATAGATCTGCAGCCAATCTGAATTACATCACAGGCTTTATGTGAGACGCATGTGAACATCACAGATGCTTAATCTCTTCTAGAAACTCTTCCCCCTTCTCCCCATGACACAACCCACACCCTGAGAAACAATAAAAAATTTTAAAAGGCTTTGCTTTCATTGCAGGTGTGTTCTTTGTGTTTTAGAAATGGAATCTGTTTAGTGTAAAGTTCTGGCTACAAGATCTACAAATTGTCAGGAGTTAAAAATGTGTTACAGCTCTCAAATAGAACAAAAACATTAAGAGTTAAAACAAACCAAACACACAAAGATTGTTGAATAAATATGCTGATGTCTTTTTAAAAATAAAGTACAATTTCCATTTTAAAATAAAACAAAAATAAAGAGGTATTATAAAAAAACTATAAAACTTATATTAAGATATTTTAGGCACGGGAATATTCGCTTTTTTAAAGTTCTGCAGTATCTCAGTGTGTAAAAAAACTAATTAAACAGGACATGAAATAGATTGTTGCCTCTAGCAAATATGCAAACATTTTTGCTGTATCTAAAGTGATGTGAAAACCAACGGTCACAATTCAATGACACCTCATGATGTCATATAATAGAACAAAACCATTTTTATATTTTATAAGAACTAAATTGAGGATACCCTGCAAGTCTGGATATAAGTGCTGTAGCATCAAAAAACTCCAAGTTTGTCCTCTGACCCTGACATTCCCCCAGTCTCACATATTTCACGTGTGCAATTTGCCTGTCACCACTTTTTCAACATTGCCCAATGTGATCTTGCTTCACCTCTTTTCCTGAAACCCCAATTCTTTTTTCTTCCTTCTCAATTTACGATTCTGTCACCTCCCATAATTTCAGTTCTTTAGAATCCATTAATTTTTTATTTCCAGAAAACCATTATGGGTGTTCTTCTGTTATTTTTACACACCAAATTCTTATGTGACATTATGCGGAGTAACCAGGAAACAAAGGGAGGAAAAAAAAAAATCAGAGTTTTTCCTCTGAACATTGCACATGGATAGGCTAAATCTTGAAGTAAATAATTCCATTAAATGAAATTATGCTGATTAACACATTATAGGATTTGGTCTGATGCAACCAATGACAACTGCTTTTTAAAGTGAAGGATTTAAGAAAAGGAAAATGATTAGCAATACAAATAATGTGCCTGCACACAGTAGATGTTACAAGTCTATCAGTAGATTCTGCAGGTTATGTTGGTAAAGGTCTGGTTTTAAACTGGTTGTTCAATTTCCAGGCCTACCCACATAAAAAAAAAAAAAAAAAAAAAAAAAAAGCTGTAGTTCTTTCCTTGTTTTGTTTGGTTTTTTTTTTGTTTTGTGGATTTTTGGTTTTTTCCTAGAGGAACTCCTAGAACTTGCATGCTTCCTTCATTCAGTATGGATAGTTCTTACATGCAGACATTAATCACAAAGCACATTATTACTGCTTTATCAATACTTAAAACTCATCTTACTGGTAAGATGCTGAAATTGTACTAACCTACCACTCGATTTTCATACCCATTCCAGTGGATAGCATGAGAGTTCTAAAACTCAAAGGACTACTTACATGCCAAGTGCAAACTCAAACCTGAAAAAATGCATCTGTGTTAATTTAAAAACGTGGCTGACAGCCAAAGGATGAATCCTAGTAAGGGAAGGAAGTCTTCCAAAGCAGAAATTATTACTAAAAGTATGTACCATTCTATATGTTTTATTCATATTCTCAGTTAAGATATTTGAAGGTGCAGTTTTAAGACCTGTTTTGACAATTTCAGTATTATGTGAGTAATGACAAGTTTCTTCCCTTCAAAAACTGAGCAAGGAGAGGCCTTATCAAGTGGGCAAGAAAAAGTAACCTGAGCAAGTTTTCTCTCATTTTTACAACTTTTATTTAACTGCATGTCACAATTAAAGCCTATATATTTGGAAGGAGTGAATATCACTAGAAATAGTTAAGAAAATAAACACTTCCAAACATTCTCTACCATTCACGTAAATACATGATGTTCAGTATTTCCCTTAATTCAACACCTTCCTATTTATTTAAATAAGAACAGATTGAAAACAAGTTATACTTCAAGAATAAATGAAAAGTATTAAGAGCTTCAAGCACCTCAGGAGAGTTTTGTACTGTTCTTTGCCATCAATCCTGTTTATCAGAATTTATCAAAGATCTCTGGTTCAACAAATCAGGTACAGCAAGATCTCCTTGCTGACATTTCCATAAATACTTTTCTACCTTGAAAGGTTCTCAGACGAGTGATAAAAAGAACATCTTCTGCTGCAAATCTTAATTTAAAGTGGAAGAAAAAGACTAGTGAAAGAAAACAAAGCTTCATCAGAATGTGGCATTTATCAAGATCAGAAGGCTGTGACAAAACAATGCATATCTAATACTCTTCTCGTTAATCTGCTTTCTATGCTACAGAAATATCCTCAAGCTTTTCCTCACAAAAAATGTCAGCAGATCGTTAACATTCTAGGCTTTGTGCCTTATTTTTATATCAACAGGTTTGCTGACATGCATTGGGAGTTTTGCTGTAAGTCACTAAAACTGAATTACTTTGAAATTAATGATGTTTATATTAGCAAAATCATTTTCCTGATGATAATACTACTTAGGAGCTGTAGTTATTTTTCAGTAGCTTAAGAGCTACTTTTTTCCAACAGAATAAATATGGTTTTGATTATTATTTTTTCTTAATAAATCTGGATTAATTCCAGATGGGCACTAATATTTTCATTTCTTCTGTAGCAAAAACCCCCAAACAATGAACAAGCAATAATATTTTGTGAGTTTGAAACCAGGAAATGTGTCACATCACTACATATTTACTACCTGCCTGTGGTCAGCTACTAATAATCTATGTACAGTAACTTGAAATTAAAGGAACAAAGTCATTAAATTGCTAATCTTGAAAACATGAGCAGAGTACAAATTGGTATCATCTATGAATCAAAAGCCCTTTCTGCAAAACTACATCAAAAGCTAAAATCAAATTATTTTCATTTATCCAAAATGTTTCATGCCTTCATGTCTACTGATTATTATATAGTAGAGATTTACCAAAAGGAGATGTGCAGCTTCTTGCATTGGAATTGGTCACATTAAACTTTTTTTTTCCCCATTATTTAAACAGTCTTAATCTCTTTTATAAATAGATCTTACCTTATTTTTCATGAACTTTGAGTGACTCTTGTAAACTTCTATTTGTTTGATTTCTTCTTCTCGGTCCTCTGCATTCAGAACTCCATTTGTCTTTAACATCTGTATTTCATCTTCAAGATCTCTTATATTGCGCTCAAGTGAAGCTATTTTTGTATCCTAAGTTACAAAAAAGAAAGTATTGAAAATTATATGAGACACATATTAAAGAATAACAGAAGCATATCTGTACTTGAGTGAATATCAAATAATGAGACAGCAAAAACAGATAGTACAAATAGAGAATGCACATAAACCAGGAATAATTCTATCAGTTTTAGTTTAAAGAAATGCACAATTCAGACCAGACCTCTTTCACCATAGTTGCACAGTCTGTAGAGAATACATTTGGTAAAAATTCCATTTAATTCCTACACAGAATAGCAGATGCTCTATTTTTCCACATATGTATGATAACAAACCTTGTTATCATTAGTAACCACCTAGGCCTGGCCGCTCTTCCAAGCTCTTAAACACCAAGTTCAGCCTAGGGAGACCAGTCCATGTCTCTGCAGGGCAAAGGCCACTTCTCTGTGGCTCAAGGACTCTGTTTCTCTGCAGTTCTGCCTGCTCTCAAGAGGGACAAAGGTTGTGTCCTCATATATTTTTCTTTGGCTAATCTAGCCACATCACTAAGAGGGGATTTACAACTTTTTATTGTGAGTCCCAAGATAAACAAAACCACAACCACTAAAAATTTCTACAGGCCAGCCAATGGATGCCACGTGTGCCAGCTCTGCACTGGAAAACAGTGGAGTTTTCTTGTTATTTCCAGTCATTTGGAAATTGGCTAAGTCCCTCTTGTGAGAGTTAGAAAGATTACAAAAGTGATTACACAAACTTGTCACAATTTTCTGTTTGAAAGAACATTGCAGAATTACTCATTAGGAAATCTGTTCAACAACATAAAGGATCAACCACCCATAAAATATTAGAGACTGGATGAAATTCTAGTTTCATTGAGATCAATATGAAATAAAAAAATCTAAAAAAAATTTAAAAACACATAAAACAAACCAACCTCATTCACTAAGACCAGGTTAAGTTAGAAAGCTAATGTGGGAAAAAAAATACAAATGGAATTAATCCTTTACAAGGACGAGCTAAGCTTGAATCACTACAACTTTGTTTCTGTTGCTTGCTTTAGATTGCCTAAAAAAGAAGCAAAAACCCCAACTCCTGTAATAACTTCTTTCATAACAAAGCTAGGCAAATGTGGCAATTTAAAACAGGAGAGTCCAGATTAAGTTCCAAAATGTATCTGAATTTTTGGTACTGAAGTGAAAAAGAATCTCAGATTATTTTTGAAGATCACTGTTACAAATCCATAAAGAATGAAAGTTAAGGACTGAGCAATGTCATTTAGATGGCCCACTGTCATTCCTCTAACATTTTTGCTTTTATCTTTATAGTCAGCAATAAATCTCAAACTGAGAGAAGTTTTTCTTTTATTATTTTCTTATTTAAAAAAAAATAAAATTAATTTCAATTCTCAAAAGGGAAGTAAAATATTGAGATGGAATGAAAAAGAGGAAGAATTCTCATTGAATCTTATTTAAAGAAGTTGCCCAACAGGCAAAATATTATAAGAAAAGATACAGAAGTATTTAAAAGCTCCCAAGAATTAAATACAACACAAAAATAATTGTAGATCTCATAGATCCTGTAATCAATTCAGCTTGCTCCATTAGACTTCATTGCAGAAATATTTTCCTCCTATTTTTGAAGATAAAAGCAAAACCTAAGCTTCACTACACTTTGGAATGATTTTGCAATGAAATATATGAATACTTACATGACCTGTTGTGACATGACATCTGGGAATAGTCTTCATCAGATCTCCCCAGCTAAGTCTGTAAGAGTCTGCCTTTTTGTACTGCCTTGGTATTTTACGTGTTTGCAAATATAATATGGCAGAAACAATTTCTAGTACAGCCTACTACACTCTTTAGAAGGTTTATACATCACAGAATAACATTTAAGCTTCATGAGAAAGACCTAAAATAACTTGTAGAAGAATTTTGTGTACTTCTGCTTCATCATAAAATTGAAATCTTTGAGGAAAAGGGTTTTTTGATGATTAGAGATGTGTAAAAGCTATTTTCCTACGTCTTGAAAAATTGTCACTAAACTTTTTATTGAAACAGAAGTCAGAAATTTCACAAATTCTGTGAAAGTCCAAGGTACTGTTCCCTATGGCATGCTGGCTTGCTGGAAAGTGAGGAACCAGAAATCCCAGAGCTCCCAGTGGGTGCAGCCACAGGGGAGCAGGGCTGGCTTACAGGGTGCACAGAAACTTAGGTGGCTTTGCATTTGCCAAAAGTTTTGATGCATTCCCATAAAATCTTCTGATTCAGCTGAATCAGCATTTTCCCACAGAAAATTCCAATTGGAAAACTTTCAATCAGTCTTGTTGGGGCACAGGGTCTGACAAGCTTTCAGAAACTGAAATGGGAACAGATGCAATATTTCCTCAAACCTCTAAGATTTATCCCCATTAGCAATGTTCTAAAAACTACGTGGCCTGTGTTGAATCACAACAAAAATTTCTTTGCAATAATATTAAGTAAGCAGCTTAGTATTAAATGGTACTAATAAACATCTTCTGAGTTCTAAAACAATACAGCATTTGTTCAGATTTTTTCAGTCAGTCCCTCTGAATCTGTTAAAAGACATCAGATTATGTACCAGGATTTGTGATAGAGCACTCACCCTAATCTATCCCCTCCTTCCAGCAGTAACCAATACTTCTTCCTTATCTCCTTTATTAGAATAGTGTTGCAGAGAGTCTGTGACAGGTTAGGGCTATTTAGGTTTCTGCTGGCTGGACCTAGCAGAAACTCACCTCTTATGGAATATGAAAAAAATTACTATGTGTTCTGATGTTGAAGAAAACAATATTTCACAATGGAAAAAGACTAACAAGTGAGTTTCCACAGTGATGTTTCATGAATCATATCAGTCCTTAGAAGAATCCTATAGTACATTTCCGGAAAACTAAGGGGCAGGAAAAGGGCAAAACATTTGTAAATAACCACAGAATCACAGAATATTGTGAGTTGGAAGGGACCTACAAAAATCATCAAGTCCAACCCTATATAATTCAGAATTCCAGACTGTCTTAATCTGAAAGGAAAAGCTACTGTTCATTATTTGAGATACATGATAAATTTAAAATATGTCTGCAAAATTTTGCTTGTAGGGCATTCAACAAGCAATCAGAAGGAAATATTTGAAACTTCACATTTAATAAAGCTTGAAGTTAAACACACTTATGTACACAGGCTGTCAACAGACCATACACAACTACCCTGACTATGAATTGCTACCTTGTCAATTTAATGCAGAGAATATTCAGGTTTATCTTTGAAGATAAGGGAAGTGAAAGTTCATGCAATCTTAACAAAGGAGTAAATTGCACTGCAAACACACACACTTCTCTACAACCAAACCCATACCTGAAATATCACAGCTGGATCAATACATAAAGATGGCTCTTTCTGCAAGTAAGGTAAACCACAAATATTTTCATTTACTTTACAGCTTACATTTATAGAGACTTCATAGCTGCTAGACTCCACATATTTTTCAGTGTCCTGTCCTTAAGATGAGTTCTAGGCCATACCTGTAGGCAATTTCTGAAGTTCTCTCTCAGGTAATATCACGGTTTTAGTGATGAGAGAGTTAGACCATAGCAGCATGTAATGGCTGGGTTGGAAGCAGCTTTAAAGGTCATCTAATGCAACCCCCTGCCACGGGCAGGGACACCTTCCACTGTCCCAGGCTGCTCCAGCCTGGCCAGGAACACCTTCAGGGAAGGCACATCCACAGCTTCTCTGGGCAACCTGTGCCAGGGCCTCCCCACGCTCATCATGACATTTTATTCTTCATAAGCCCAATCTAAATTTATCCTATTTCAGTTTAAACCTGTTGTTCCTTGTCCCTATCACAACAGGTCCTATTGAAAGGTCAGCCCCCATCTTTCTTATAAGCCCCCTTTCACACGGAAAGGCTGCAAGGGCACTGAGGAGCCTTCTCTTGTCCAGGCTGAAGAGCCCCAGCTGTGCTGTCAGAGCTGCTGCAGCCCTCTGAGCATTGCTGTGCCTCTCCTCTGCACTTGCTCCAACAGGTCCATGTCTTTTTTTGTCCAGTGGAGCCCAGAACAGAAGGCAGCACCCCAAGTGGGGCCTCACAAGAGATGAGCAAGTTTTGACCCACTCCACGTGCTCAGGAGTACTTGTATAAAACCAAGTGAAAAGTGTGTTTCCCTTTAATTGTTTTTATTATATTAATAGGTGTTAGTCAACATTTAATATCCCTGATATTCAGGATATATTCAAATATATCAATTGAATATCCCTGATATTCAGAATATATTCAAATATATCAGTCATCTGGCATTTGCCAGCACACAATATGCAAGGAAGCATGCATAAGTGCAATTGCAATTAAAGGAAAGGATTTCCATGTACCAGTTTTATTTTATACTTTAACAGATTAAGATTTAGGCATGATGGGAAAAAATGCAGTTAAATCACATATATCCACAGTCACAAAGTTAAAAGCAACTACTGCATCAAAACTAGACTAGTTTGAGGGAATAATGGGAGCATGTGGGAGAGGGAAGTATTCTGCCCTCCCTTAGTTTTGTGACTCCACTTTCCAGAAGAAAAAAGGGCTTCTGGAGAAAAATATCAGTTGCAGAAAAGAGAACTGAGTAAAGAGTGTAGTGAGAAACAATAGAGCAAAAGACATGGGACATCTGGAAGCAAATGTGCCCATGAAGCAAAATCAGAAAGTTAGGAAAGAACAGCCTGTGCAATGCATTTGAAAAGACAATAGGTATCTGGAAAATAATAAATAAAGCAAGAAAAACAGGAGTCAAGGCATAGGATGTGAATTTTCCATCTTTTTTTGTTTGCCCTTTTTTTATTTTGCATGAATATACAGGAGATAAACACCGGTCAACAACACAGCAGAAAATGCAATTGCTGGAAGGAAAAGCAACTACTTGCAAAGCTTTAGAGAGAAATGAAGATCACAGGACATGTAGAGCAGAAGATGCCTAGCACAAATAAACACCAGGGAGGACAGGTAGGAGAAATGGGTATACTTGATTGGAGAGGGAATACAGACTGGGAAAAGGGACAGAAAGAACTCCAGAGTGGCAAGGGACAGAAGAAAACCACGGAGAGAACAGAAGGATTTATGAAGGAGGGAAAGTTGCATCCTGGCAGAGCCTGGGCGAGCCACGGAAGGCACTCAGACAAAAGCTGAAGTGGTGAGGGGCTGGAAGGGGCTGGGTGTGGTGAAGAGAAATGTAAACTGCTTGGAGTCTCTGCGTGGGGGAGTGGATGGCCTGAGACTGCCATATTACAGCTAATCCTCTCCCTCCTTCTACCCTCAACACTGCAGGGAAACAATTCCTTCAGTGCTTCATCATTCAAAACAAATGGTCCACATTTTTTTTTCAAAACAAATGCTGTCTGGATTAAGACAACTTAAATTTACTTGAAAACATTCCAAATCTGGAACTTGTAATGAAAACTGCTGTTAATCATGTGGGTTTCAACGTCTTACATTTGTCCCATTGGTCCCTTTTTCTTTTCAGTATTAGGTTCACTTCAGACAGGGGCAACCCCAAAGGGGTGTGTGTTCATGGGGACAGAGAGAACTGGGTGCCTCAGAGGCAAAAAGCAGCTTTGCATCAGTACTCCAGCAATAGGATTGCAGCCTCACTCACAACAAATGGAAGCCCTGCCTAGAAACATCCGATTTTTAAAAAGTGGAACATTGCACCATGCCCACTTCTCCTGGGAATCAAACAGAAAACACAGGCACTGTCAGGAGCAACTACAGGCATCACATGTGTCCTGTAGCCCCACCTCTGTTCTCAAAGACTTTTGGTACAGGAAGAGGAACTGAAAATTAATTTCAACATGTCCTTTATATTGGTATATAACCCACATGAAAGATTATGAAGATTAGAATATTATTCTAACACACTGCTTTTGTACCCCAGAACTAAGTTTCTCAGCCAGTATCTTACTTTCCCATTAACTTTGGCTAATGAGTTACTGCAAAAACATAGATTTCATACAAAGACTTCTGAACTAATGTCCAAAGCAAATATACATCCAAAAATGGAATTCTGTAATCAATGTACCTTTCTGTTACTCATATAATCCAAACTAATTGATATCTATTAAAAGACAGATACTGTATTTATAAAGTCCTGCTGTTGTTTTAACTGCGTGTTTACCACAATGTTCAGACATGCTGAACTCATTTGCTCATAACAGAAGTCACTGGCAAAATGAGGCCTTTAATTTGCACTTCCTTCTAAGATTGAAATGGAAGACCATCATTAATGAATTTCAGGCAGCATTGCCAATTCACAAATTATCTCAAGTCTCATGATATTTCTCTTAAAGATGAACATTACAGACTCGGAATTATGCAAAAATATCCCTTTTCACCTTTTAAATTACTATTTTTATTCTTTATTATTGTGGCGGGAAAAGCCACAGCACTTTAGTAATATTACATATCAAAAAAGAGTGAACTATAGTCAGGACTAAGAGAGCTGTTTCATCACATTTTATCATATCTGCTGATGCAACTAATTTTTTCCTTAGGTTGGATGTAAAATTATGGCCTAACAACAACCAACAGGAGTCCTGGTTTTAAAGTTTGAGGAGAAAAACATTTTACATTAGCCAGTTTATTCCATGTGCTTTGGCTCTCCTAAAACATGCACATACACACACACACACTTCTTTTTTAAAAGCTGCTCTCATTATTCAGCAATGCTACACTTGACTTTTTAAATCAATTTTATTTAGAAAACAGACCAGGAGAAATAAATACTAATTATTCCTAGCTACATAACAAAATAAATGGATATGGTAAAGGAAGCATTCAATAACTAAAGAGTATAAGTCAGAAGCCAAGGCCTGGTAGGCAGCTGAGTGTCACAGCTGCTTGTTCACTCCCCCTCAGAGGGATGGGCAAGAGAACCAGAGGGCAAAAGTGGGAAAAGCCATTGTTTGGGATAAAGCAAAGCTGTGCAAGCAAAGCAACGTGGAACTCATGCAGTGCTGCCCATGGGCAGGTAAAAGCCTGGCTGTTCTCAGGACAGCAGGGCTCCAGCAGGCACCAGAGTTCTTTGGGAAGACAAATGCTGTGACTCGGAACCTGCTCCCTTCAGCTTGCAGAGGCTGAGCATGACATGACAGTATGGATTATCCCCTGGTGAATTTGGGTCAGCTGGCCCTACTGTGCTCCCTCCCAGCCTCTTGTCCACCCCTACCCTACTGCAGGGTGGGAGCAGAGCGAGAAACTGGGAAAGCTTTGACTCTTGGACAATAGCTAAAACATCAGCATGTTCTCAACACTGTTTTCAGTCTGAAATTCAAAACACAGCACCAGACAGGCTGCGACAGGGAACATTAACTCCCTCCCAGCCATGCCCACACACAACTTCATGCTGTAAAAATAACATGCAGGGAAACATGCAAAGCCCATACCTTCATTTCGATGACTGTTTGCAGAGCCTTTGTCTTTGCTGGCTCAGGCTGAAGTTGGGTTCTTCTGTGCAATTCCTGTGGAGGGACACGATAGAAATAAGCTTGACGACTCATCTTTCCATTATTTTAATCGCTCACATGAACTCATTGCAACAAAATAAAAGTCTGATGAGAAGAAGCAGGTAACTCCAAGTGCTACAGGTGCTTCCCTGGCTGGAACCCCTCTGCCATCACTGCACTCTGTATCTCATGTTACAGCCAACTCTGACAGCACATGCGCTATTTCTGAAACCTTATCAATAATTAACGTCAAGCGTGACAACCCAGCAAGAAATTTCTTAGCCCAGATACAATGCTGCTGTTGCTGCTTAAACACCAAAACTTTATTCAATTGTGTTACTAAGTCAAACACTGGGAAGCATTAAATCTTTTGCTGCAGTTTCTTCTTAATTTGTCCTCTGATGTCTGAAATAAGCAATTTAAACACATTATATTCAAATTTGACATTTAAGGATAATAATTATGTAGTGGGCTGACACAGCACATGCTACAGTAGCATTTACATTTCAGTTTTCACATTTTCATACTGTTTTTTATGCATCTAAATCCACAGGCAAAAGAAAAATGCATTGCATTAGTTAGGACAAAGTTAACAGTACTAATACATACTGGTCTTTATAAAAATAATAACTGTTTAATATCTGCAAGAGCATGAAGCAGTAGTCAATCTCATGAAACTACCTGGAAAAAATGTAGTAAAGGTGTGAAAAAAGTCATTTGAGAATTTGGTGATGCTTTTTCCCTTCCCATAAACCACCTGAGAAGTTTATTAATAAAATAAACTAAAACAGGACAGATATAGTTCCATTTCTACTCATTTGGAGTACTTCTACTCTAAAGGACAGGAGTGCCATCCTTGATGTCTTTATGACCCAGTTCCTTCTACTGCAGTGCTCCACACAGACTCCTGAACTAACCCTGTAGCCATGGAAAAGACATTTATGCTTGAGGCCAAGGAGCCAAGGCCATTCACCTAGGTCTTGCCTACCTTATAACCCACAAGTTTAAAAGTCATAATTTTTTGCATCACAAACTGTCAAGCAGTTTTTCTGTGTAGCAACAAACATATTGCTTATCTGTAACGGTGAGAAACAACTGTTCTCAGACTAAGTAGTAGGAGTGATTTAGTGTATTTATTAAACTAAAGTCTACTGCTAATAAACATCTTTATAAAATAGTTTTGAAAAAGGTGGGGCCTAATGTATTAAAATAACAAAGAGACACAGCACACCTAATGCAAAGTAAGTCTAAACATTTTTTTATTAAATATATTGCAGTATGTTGCATTTACAAATGCTTTAGCATTTGTAAAATTCTTTCTGCATTTATGAAATAGTATCTCTGATTAGACCTTTTTCCTTTTAATTTAAATGCTACTCTCCACGCTACAAAAAGAAATAAATCTTTGCAAATCACCTATGCAAGGAATCTCTCAATCACCACCAGCTGTTTGTCTTAGATAAAATAAGTACCTTCACTGCACAAATGTTTAAAAAATATAAGAGTATGTAATGAATTTGTCATACAGTTTCACAAAAGAATAGTTGGCCAGTCATACCACTATCAGATCAGCAAAAATTACAGCTAATTCTAAGACCAGACTCTGCTCCCCAAGGCCATATAAACTGAGCTGGAATATAAACAGGATTCCACACATTGCCCAGGGAGACAAACCAGAGTTTCCACCCCCTTAGCCAAAGATGTATAGACTGCCAAAGATGCCTATTCCGAGATGTCTATCATAGCATGAAGCCTCGCCTCAGAATGCTTTTCCTGTTTGCTTTATGAATCAATCTGATGCTGGCTGACTTAAAAGCTTTTCTTCTCTATCCCTGATGGTAAAATGAAGCAGACTTTAGGATTCTGGAGAAGATCAGAAAATGACTCCCACTTTATTATTTTGTGTGGGTTTTCTTCCAATCAGACTCAAATGTTCAGAGACTCCCGCAAGACTCAGTTCTTGAATTTATGTTGTTCTATGTATGTGCTTTTTCATTTGGGGTACCTGATTCAGGGATATACTTTTGGGGTACTAATTTAAGGATACACTTTATGTGCATGATACCTAACCCTGATTGTTTTACTGTCTGAGGTCATCTGGAGGCTTTAAAATTTGCCTGAACAGCTAAGCAAAAGATATTCTAGAGATTTCAGAAAGTCCTCATAGCCTAAGGAAACCAGATTTTTATCCATTACATCATTTCTGGAATGATGTGCATTTCTTGTCTTCAATTTATTTTAATAAAAAGCTCAGGGAGACAAAAAAAGAATATGCGGGGGGAAAAATCAAAAACTTACCAGAGATAGTTTCTTTTAACCTAAATTGTATTGAAGGAACCTCTTGATTCTTATATCCATGAAAAAAAATTTTGTCATCATCTCTGCAACAATCAAAGCCTATACTAAAAATCTCTCAGAGATGCAATCATCTATAAAATAAGATTTTCTTTATATCCCTCTATATGACACCTACAAATAGTAGTAATTCTGAGTAACTACTTTGCACATGCAAATTAATTGTAATGCTGCATAACCAAATGCCCACACCTCTTATTTCCTAATGATGCTTAGTTGTCAAGGTGATTAACACACCCACACAAAACTGGCAGGTAATCAGATCTTCTTCACATTAAATTTATTTAATAGTCTTTGTTTTTAGACTAAAATGAGCCTCAGTTCAAATTTGGCCATTGCTTTCTCCTTCCACAATATTAGGTTAACATCTTGTATTGGCCTCAGAAGTAACTTTAGCACACAACCTCACCACTAACTTAGACACAAAAAAAAAAAAAATCTAAAGAGAAAAAGCATATTTGTAATCTTAAAATACTGGTGGAAGATGAATTCTACCCTTTTGTTCAGAAATTGAAGAAGACATTGCAATATTTTGTCATCATTTACTGGTGCTGAAAATCCCTACTACACAGCATAATCTGAACCTAATACTAATTACCCAAATAAAACTGTGGTTTTATTCCAGCTTTATTAAAAGACACTTCATGCCTTGGCTGCAGGAAAGTAGGGATGCTGCAAACTGATCCTACTTTACTCTGTTTCTGAAGTATTTTATTAATGTTCCCTAGACACCAGTGACTGTGCTGTTCTCATTTGATGATACCAACACTGTCAATGCAGTTCAAGGTTTTACCTTTATTTGCACAAAACTGCCTAAAATAATGACACAGAGTGCTAGAAAGGAAACGTTCAGAAAAATAGGCAATTTAGAAATGGTGTGAAATTGTGAGTATCTTCATTGGAAGAAGAAAGAAAAATCATTAAAGAAGGCAGCATAAAAACTAGCATGAGAAACCATTGTGTCAGTAAATGCAGCTTTTTGCCTTCATAGACAAAATGTACAAATCTGCAAATCACAGCAGTCAGTGGCATAGGAGCTGCTTGTTCTCTCAAACACCTCAAAGCACACTGGTTCCATTCTCCTGGAAAACAAAGCCTTGGTAGTTCTTCTACAGGATTAGCTTGTCTGAACTTTAAAATTCAGATCAGCAGTTTTTTAATATTTCGATCAATCATTTATGTAAAAGCACAGCACTTACCTAAGTGTCTAAACAGTAGTGTTTCTTTAGCCAAAAATACCATTAGAAACAGTGATCCAATTCAATTCAATGAGAATAATAGAAAAATGCAAGATATAGGATTTAATTCATGCTTAGCATACAGACTTATCTGCTGTTTTCCAACTCTTCACATCTACCCTCAGCCAAAATAGTCTCACAGTAATTTAAATGAAGGTAGATTTAAGAAATCCTGATCAAACGTTGTCTTTCTGGAAACCATAAACTGACAACACAAAATTCCCATCTCTGTCTCCAGTGGGAATGAATAAGGAGCCCTGTTACTGGAAAGGATTCTAAAAATCATATTATCATGAATTTTCTTTTAAAAATTCACCATTATAGGTCTTAGAATTCTGTGAGAGCCTGGTAAAGAAATTTGGTCAAATTCCAACAAATTTTAAAGCTTGAAGAAATGAAAATGTGCACATAAGGACATGAAATGAAAAAATTAGAGGAAATATGAAGAGCTGATAGCTACAAAAGTTCTGCAGAGATTTTTCTTTGCAAATTAGGTGTATTTAAATTTGTTAAGTTCTCAGAGTTAGGCAAAATACTCAGAGTCATGCCTAATTCTCTCTCCATTTGTCATGTTAAATAAACAGATATGAATTTTGCAGAACATGAAAGAAATCACATTCATCAGGAACCACCACCAAACTATCAAACAAAGGTCAAGAGTCCACCATGACAGACAAGTCCAGCAATAATCTCAATAGCCTCAGTACTACTCCTGAACAATGAGTCTACCACCATCCCTACATTAACAAACCTGGAGATGTAAAGAAGAGTATGAGGGAGAAAGGAGGAGTTTTTACACCAGTTGAAAACCACTGTATTGAATCACAAGCCAAAGTACTTCTTTGCAATGATCAGACTTGCATTTATTCCTGAACTCATGCATGTAAGGAGAGCTTATGAAGCTTTACTAACATATTTAAAGACAGACTATGAGGAAAAATAATCCAAGCATTAAGAAACTCAGCTTTTCTTTGACCTGTATGTCAAAAACACCTTAAGCAACCACATGCATTGTCACACTGGAAGTTTGTCCTCTGGCAGGAGACCACATACAAAAAGTTTCAAGTGAAAACACGATTTGTATATGGAGCTTGAAATGCATGTGGGACAATTTAGTTTGTAATTGAAAGCACACAGAGTGTTTCCTGAAAGGAGCTACTGAAACTCCACTTTTACCAGAATTCTTGAAAAGGCATTTCTTTTCTTTGTAGAAGGAATAAAACTTGTAGGAGACCATTTCTGTTTTGCACAGTATCATTAATCTCTTCTCCTCTTACCTAAATTACTTCCCCAAATTTAGGAAATTTTAGGGAAGAGTTATCATTTCACACATATTTTCAGAAAAAGAAACTTTGATGATAAACAGTTTTCTCCCTTTCCACCATTTTCTTTAAGAATGCATACTGAAATGCTTGAGTGGCT